CAGGAAGCAGTTTTCTTTATGGAACTAGTGTCCTCTGAGAAGTTAGTACAGTGGCTGCACATCCCAAGACACCCAGACTACTGTTGGAATAAGATAGGATGAGAATAAGGGACCTTTTTCCTTCTCAGTGGCCGAGGACCACGGCCTGGAAAAAAGGCTCTGTTCTTAGCCTGTGATTTACTAATGGTGGAGACTTAATTACTAAGAAGAGAATGGAAAGCATAGCTTAATGAAACCAGCTGTGCGCTACAGTCAGGCTACAACCATAACCAGACAAGATCTGATAATTCAGGACAGGGACAGCCTTAGTATCTTTCATTTTTGTTTTTTGTTTATTTGTTTGTTTGTTGTGGTTTTTCCAGACAGGGTTTCTCTGTATTGTTTTAGAGGCTGTCCTGGAAGTTATTCTGTAGACCAGGCTGGCCTTGAACTCACAGTGGTCCGCCTGCCTCTGCCTCCCGAGTACTGGAATTAAAGGCGTGCGCCACCAATGCCCAGCCAGTCTTGTCTAAGTCTTACCCGTATCCTCCTTACATTCAGACTTCGCTGTGTGGAAACACTCGGCTTCCTTTAATGGTCAGCCCTCACAATGGCTTGTTCCTGGTTCTCTTCCCCAACCTCTAGGCAGTTCAGTGGATTACCACATCTCAGCAAATCTAACTTTTCCTTTCCTGCCTTAACATTCAAGGTAGATGGATGTTCAGTCTTCCCATGAAATGTGACTTGTTTCTAGAGAATGACAGTTTCCATGATAATTGCTGATATCGTTGAGGTAAAGTGAATGGCTTTTTCTGAGTACTTAAAAAGACTGTCTCTTTATATTCTGCTGTTCCAGAGAGGCTCCTCCCTCCCCACTGAGAAAGGTTGACTCCCAAGTATCAAAACCTATGCTCTACTTGTGAATTCATTGAGCAAACTTCAGTGAAGGAACTTCTCAGCTGTCTTATATAAAATGTAATGAGACCTGTCCCTATTTCAGTCTCCTATACAGTTGCTCTAGACTTAGATTTAGGCCATCGAGCAGGGTCACACTGCATCATTGATGTCAGGGGGTACTTAACCGTGGTCCGTGTTTTCCCATCATGTCTAAGAGGCCCTGCTCAAAATGGAAATCTCAAAGAGTTTCCGGAGTTGACTAGGTTTACTCAGTTCCAGAGTTCACAGAGATCTGTATCATTAATAACATCTATATTGCAAACTACCAGAATTTACTTTGTATTTTTGTTTCCACTTTTTCCTCATCTTGCAATAATGTACAGCAACCTGATCAGTGTGATTTCCCTGCAAGTCATTTTTATGACTCTCTGTTTGTGAGAATGAAAGATTAATATGCTGGGGTTGCTTAGTAATTGTGTCCACCATCTCACTTTTTCCATCTTTTCGTAGGTTTCCTGTCATATTGCTGTCACCTAGCAGAGTTCATCAGCAGGTTTCCAAATAACTAGTGAAGGAACAAAACTAGCCACTTAAAGTTAAATAGAGTGTTTACACAGCCCTTCTGTCTGTCAGGGACAAGTTATAAATAAAATCTGTCTGATAATTCAGGTCTACTGTGAAGCAGAGATGCTACCATGGGAGCATATGAAATATTTACACTGTTTGTTTTCATATTTCTGCCTTTCATACATCCATTTGCATGCATTCCCCTTCCACTTTATCCCGAGACAGTAGGCTACTGATAGAAGGGTGAAATTATTTTTGCAGTGATGTTCTCAGTCACCATGATCCTAGTTTAAGTGTGAGACTAGATTTCTTAGGGGCAGGTGTCAATGTCCATTGAACAGTTCTGCCCTTTGACTCTGCTTTTGTTTGCTATCCCCCGACAGTGGACCAGAATGGCAACCATTGCACACACCCAGGCATTTCTCAGCACAGAAACCAATGGCACCCTCTCTAGCAGAAGCCACATAGAAGTGGGTTGTTTTTCCTGTTCACTTTGGAAGTAATATGTATGGATGGCTTGGTTATATTTGAATGGTTTAGTTTTCCAGTGCTTGGTTTAGTTCAACCTTATTACAAAAAAAAAATGTGAGAAACCAATAAATTCTGTGACGGTGTTTATTAAAAAATGAGGTCAGTTTGAGTTCTGTTCACTTAGGGTCTCCCTGGAGTACTGCCTGCTTGCCAGATACCTTCCTTCAAGCTGGAGCAACAATGACACAAAATAGACACTGGTAGCTCAAAGGGGGCACACTCAACATGAGAAAAGGGGAATCGCCATAGTGTGTGCCAGATGCTGTGTTAGAGCCATACACAGCACATCTGGCCAGTGTTAAAAACAGAGAAGGAAGTCCTTAGAGAAGTGAGGTCAGCTAGGGCAGATGGCTGACAGAGATGACAAGAGACTGGGTCCTGAAGGACAGGTGGGAAGTGGCAAAGCCATAAGGTGTTGGTGCTACACCTGTGGGACTCTTTCAAGGTTTCTGATAGAACAGTGTGCACTGCAGACATTTTCCTCTTCTGTACTTGCTATTCTCCTACCTGGGAGCCTTGGTACACTTGCCAAATAGCTCATCCACTCTCTGTCCTAGCCATTCTCTCAGTACCTTTCAGACAGCGCCTTTTAGGAAAGGTTTTCCCTCCCCATCCTTTCTAATGCTTTTGTTGTGTGTTCCCTTTGTGTCACTTGGACTATTTACACTTTTTCCCCTAGTAATCTGTTATAAACCCTTTGATGTCTCTATGACTAAACTGCAAATTCTCTGAAATTAGGGACCATAGATCCAGCACCGTGCCTGGCACATGGTAGCTGCTAGGCAAATATGTGTTAAGCGAGTGAACGGTCAGATCTGCCTGGCTTCAGATTAAAGAACAGATTGATGAGGATGCCAAATGAGTAAATGGATAGTAGACAGCAGATGGTCTGGAGACTCCCCTTCAGGGTGATGAGAACTGGGGATGCCCTCAACCTCAGTCTTGGGAAAACTAGAAATATGAGAGATGGAACGACACAGAATAGAAACCTAATCAATGTGGACACATGGGAAAAGGCAATTGTATAATTTCAGAGTGAGGATGACACAAAACATAGAAAACTAAAGACTTTGGATGTGTTGGGTCCAAGGCTACCTGTGAGATGTCTAGGATAGCATGTCTGGTAGATGCTTGGTTTAGAAGTTTGGAATCCAGGAGGACCTAAAGAAAAGATGTCAGCATCACTGTTTTAAAGATTTACTCATCTCTTTATTCACCAATATTCACTAGCGAGTGATGACAAAGGTCACCTTCTTCCCAAGCCTTTCCATCAAACTCAAACTAGTCTTGAAGATAGACTCTCTTTGGGGTGGCAGAATTAAGGTGGCAGGTCTATGTTTGTACTACTTAGTTCAGAAATTCTAATTAGTCTTTCCCAAAAATACAGGCTTCCAGGGTTTGGTATTGAAGCAAGTGTAAGCCCATAACTTGTGGGACAAAAAGAGATGAGCAAGAGATGCACTTCCCATTCAGCTGTGGTTTTCTGGATGTTGTGTGCATTGAGTCCACATTCGTGTAGCGGATTTCCTTTGTTATGGTCTGTGGGGTAAATGTGATCTTAATGGTGTCCAGTAAAAAAAAGAAATGTTATGATCTGTTTTAACAAGACCTCATTAAGAGGATTTTTTTATTTGCTGAAGTTTTTACTTCTTGGTTCTCTCAGTGA